ATTCTATAGTTCACAGTTCGTCGCCTTCCAGCCATCTTCTAATGATGTCTTTCGTTTGGAATGATATATCGTATGTTAGTTGGCTAGTTCGGTTTTTTCAGCGTCAGATATTTGCAATCATTTAATGTTATACACATATCTCTATTAGATCAAAATATATTAATTTGAATATATTTTTTTAAAATGTGATGGTAATTCGAAAACTAATTGGTCTTTCCAGATTGAATTGTTGAGTTCTAGAACGGAATGTGTTCAAATAAAAGTCGTAATATTAAGTTGTTTATTTAGTATGCAACGATAAAAAATATTTATCTTTTTTTTTTTTCACAATTCCTTGTGAGATTTCGAGCTTAATTAATTGCATAAAGGGTAAGGTGTCGTTCCACATGCAACTAGCCTTGTCCTCTCGGGTTCAATAGTGCACGGGCTGTCGCCACGTTCCGTTGCCATGGCACTTTACATATTTTGTTAAGTCAATGCCTTGATTGCGGTGGCATTTGAACTCATGTTTCTTCCTCTAATTGAGACGGGTGGCGTACCTTAAGTATGCACTCCATGCGTGCATCGTTGGCACTAGATTAGGGTGGCTATGCAATGGGCAAGCGTACGTGCCAATAAATTGCATAAGTTAAGGGTTTTCCGTCAAAACCAAGTCGATCTTCGTGACCCCTTGACTACATTCTGTGTGACTTCTTTCAATATTTTGCTTTATTGGCATAGTCTCATGTTTATATGCATATTATCAAAATTTTCAAAAAAAAGTCTTGTTACATTCACAATATTTTGATCAGTATATAATTGTAATAGATATTTTTTATATTTAAGAGATGGGATTGAATCGATTGTTATAATTGTTTTAAATGCCTTCCTATGACATTTATTCATCCAATTAGATTGCTCAGACACTATAAGTATGTATTTATTTCCAGTGCCTTTGTAATGAAACCTACGTTTCAATAAATTCTGGCCTGTACACCGAAGCGCTTTATGTCCGACTAGTTTTACTATTCCATCTTATTCTTCTGTTTATATTGATAAACTTATTAATTCCAAATGTCTTCTCAGAAAATAAATACATTTTGTATTAATGTATACTCCATAATCGAATAGTTCATTTTTAATGTTTATATTTTAACAATATCCAGGCCGGAGAACCATTATTTTACTCCAGTCTACAAAATTTATTAAGTTTACTGTATAGCCTCTCCCTGTTTTATTATATTATACTCTCATATTAGATTCTTTATTTATTTTTTTTTTTAAGGTGTTGCTATTTAATGTAGCAGGTATTATAATTTTGTTCCATGACTATTTCTTAACTTAAAAAATAACAGGGTATACAATAGGATTGGTAATATATTTTTTTTCCGGCTGTCCTGAGCGATGGATTTTGGTGAATGAGGTATTAAACGAAGGGGGATTTCATTGAGAAGTGACGAATGATATTTTGAAACTTAAATCTTTACCACTAATCGACGGGGATTCTATTTTAAAGTTGTTTCACTTTAAAACGGTCTTAATCTTGAGAATTATCTTAATGTTTAGGTTAACATAAAACAAAATGCTATTTATGATAGTCTTTGACATCCCAAAGATCTATTTAAAATGCAAATGGAATATATCTTAAGATGTATGATACTTTAAACACATCGAATAATGTAGTAAACAACCTTTTAATAAATAAATAAAATATAATGGCATAGTTTCTGTAGTAATAAGGAAACTACAAACCAAGGAATTTCCGCTGCAAATTGGTGTTGAGCGAATACAATATTTAAGTATAAGTTCAGGGATATCTGTGCCTTGTGGCTTAACTATTAAACTGGAAGGATGTAACAATCGTAGTAAGGTACGAAGTTTCACTTATTGTGTGTGTTGCATCGACTAAGTTAGAACTGATGTCACTTAGACGTCGAATGCATTAATTAGGGAGAAAGATAGCTGTGTAATCGTTCTCGCTTGGGTATACCAGTATTTCATTAACTTTATTAATCTCTTTGACATTAAGCCGCTGTATTTGATTCTTGTTCTTAATTTTCGTTATTTTTTTTGTTGTTGTATTTTTGCTTTTTGATACTGTTTGAGAGACTTGATGGCTTTAGGGACGAGGCAGGGGAAGTGACCGCTGACGATGGAGGGATAGATCAATGGAAGAGGTTTCGGGTTTAATGGTTCCTCCTGGCAATAATATTGATCCCTCCCCACCCCCTACCTCCGCACTGTTTTTCTTAGCAGCGTCTCTCTTCCAATCGTCTGTTGAACTTGAGTCAATCTGTCTGCCTGTCCGGCCTTAACTCTTAACTTAGCTTTAACTTAGTTTAACTTTACCTACAGTTTCAGGGATAGTTTTTACTAACTTGAAAACGTTGTGGTTGATGGTTTGTTTGAAAGCAGTTTAAAGTTGTAATTAACTTATTGTATCCGTAAGATTATTATCACAAGTTTTTCTCTGGTAATCTTCAGCGCAAAATAAACTTTTATAATATAGAAGAAAACTAATTCAGTGGTATTAGCGTGTTTATTTTATTGGTTATTTTCCATTTGACAACCTATCCCAAATTTTATTGCTGTAAGCAATTTACTATAAACTATAAATTTAGTACCTTTGTACTTGAAATTAGAGATACATTACTCAAGTATCACAAGCTATGCTAAATGTTTCTCTAATGTATATAAATGTATACAATATGATTCTAATTTTAAATTAATTAAAAAAGTATCCAATTTTATTTATTTTATACGGGATTTAGATTAAATGAATTTTTTTTTTTGGATTTACTTATTTATTTCTAAATAATGTTTAGTTTTAGGTTTAAATATTTGAATTATTTAATTAAAAGAAATTATTTTCATATAATTGTGTAAATAAATGCAGATTATCAGAAAGTCCTTTGAGGATATTATCTCTTTAAATCCGTTGGAAAACCATTTAATTTTACAATATGGGTATAATATTTGATATTTAGTAAATGTTAGAAGACTGCAGATAAACGTCTCATAAATATAAATTAATTAGAAAAAAAATCTATAAATAAAAAACAAAGGAAAGAGGATTATTATTTATTTATGAGCTTTCTATTGGACTCCGGACTAAGGTAGAAGTGATAAATAATGCATTGGCTGCCCAACAATCTCCAGAATTTTCACCATCCTTTTGTTCCCTCCATTTTCCTTCAGGGAAATAGAAGAAAAGAGGGGGGGGTTGCAGGTTAAACTTTTCCAGGGGGCTATTACCTGTGTTCCCCGCCAGGGAGCATTATTAGACAATTAGTGGCAGCCAATTATATTTAAATGGGAGTAAATTGGTGTTGGATGGTTCCAACTTCCTCTCTCCAGATAAACTCCTCCACAGCCTTTTCTACCCAAATTGGTCGCTGGTCACTTTTTTTTTCCCTTTATCTTCTTCTTTTTCTTTATACCTCTTTCCTCGATTATCAAGAGTTAATTCTAATGGGAATCGAGTGCCAATTAAGATATAATGGATCGATTATATCCATCATACTCTACCTCAGAGTCTGAAATGTTACAATTAAAATCACCTGAAAGCTTCACTGTTCTTTTATTTTTTTTTTAAATTAAATTAAAAAGTGGATAACCGTCTTCCATGGTGGTTGCACCGGACCATTGGGGAAATAATTATATTCCAATTAAAAATCTACAAATATTCTTTATGAGTGTTTGTCTCTTCATTTAATCTTGATTGCTGTGCAGAGTAAAGTAAACGAATATAATTAGTTAGTAATAATTACTTATATAATCAGTTGGCCTTTTCTCCTATACATTTCGTAGGAATACATTCAGAGAGCATTAACTCTTATTCGTGAGGTTTGATTAGTCTCTTCCATACATAAATTTATACACTCACTAGTGGATCTACGGGAGGAGGATCTTTCAATGCTGAAGTTCCTCAAAATGGAAAAATGATATAATCAAAATATAACTATGTCTATGTACCAATTGTATAGAATTTAAAAGGATATTTATTAATTATGCCGATTAGCTCAATAACAGAATTATCCTATATATCTAAAAGGTGTTTTTTTGTCGGTACGCCATAACTTCATCAAATCCAATGATTGACCACTCATTTTGAAGATATTCTTCTCCTTCACATGCGAAAAATAGTTCTATCCCCCGAAATTTCTAGAAAAAAGGTTATGAAGCAAAAGAAACTTTATATACGAATAACTCAAAAAGTATGCATTTTTTTCGGTACTGTACCCATGATAATTAGAAAGATTACTAAATTACCTACAAAACAATAGAAAAAATTATAAACATAAGCACAATATAAACAATTTGTATAGACGGAAGGATTAAAGTGTATTGAAATATTTTTTTAAGAAAGAAGAGAGCTGAGATTTGTATTCCGCAACTCGAAAGACCCTCGAATACGAATTTTCATTGTGATCGAAAAATAATTTTTTTTTCTACATTTTTTGACCTATTGTTGGTTTTATTTAATATTTAATTTTGTATAAATAATAAATACAGCGATATAAATATTAAAATTTGTATGTATAAAGGTACTTATACAAATAAAAATACCCATAATGAAATATAAATACATATAATTTTTTTTTTTTTTATTGAACAATAAATATTACAATCTGCCACATTGAAGGGCAATAAGTAACAAGGCTAAATGTGTTCATTCATACCGTATATACATATAAATAAATATAGCGTCTGTAATTTTTACTTTCCTTTCCCCTTGGTCTGAAAATATCTTTTCAGAGTGGTAAATGATTGTTGTGTGGTGCGTGCACCGCACCAGATTTTTTTTATTCTTATTGCGTAGCAGCGGTTGGAAATGTATTCAGGTTGTAAGACTCAAATATGTGTGCGACGGATATAACATATAATCTGAAGACTGTTATTAATTTTAACAATAATGAAGTTTCCCTTTGGACCGCAATTCCTTGGGGAATCGAACCCTCGGGGACTTGACCCGGTACACAAGAGCACATCGGGGGATAATATTAAGCCGACGGTTGACGTCAGGAAGAGAGCCGGGTAGTAATGGCTTCGGAAGAGGTTTGTGAGGTAAAGGCTATAAGGAGAGAGAGAGAGAGAGAGTGAGGGTGGGTAAGAGAGTGAGGGAGAAATGTGTACAAATGAGAGAGGGAAGGGAAGGAGAGGAACACGAGAAGTCCATCTGGAGTGGATGTACTCCCGAGAACAGTTTAGATTGGGGTTGAGGCGCTGGTCAGTGAGCATTCCTCCGGCGGCAGTTATTTGTTTATCTTCCACTCTGTAGTCTGTCACTTGTTTATACCAACCTGATATCCTCCCCTCTACTCTACGCCTCATATCTAAATGGCACCGAGCTCTGAATCCATAATGAGTCCTCTAAGTGCGCTACGGTTCCAGAGGTGTAATGGAACACGCGGCGAAAGAGGGAAAATCCGCTAGTTATCTAGAGCGCGGCTAAGTGGAATTCCCAGCGTAGGCGTGGTGATAGCATTATTTATATCTCTACATGAAATCTGTATATGTATAGCAAAAAAATATATATCCATATCTATCATGCATAATCAATGGAAGCACTTAATATGCTTTTACTGAAGTTTGCCAAGTCATTTTACTCCTATTTGTATGCAGGCCGTCAACCAGTCTGGATTAGGTCGGGGATGTTGCAAGGTCAGGAATCGAGAGTAAATTGTATTTGTAATGTTGTAAATGGATTTATTTTTTCAATTTAATTGATTTCATTTATATTCAGTCTCGATCATAGAAATTGTTTCACCTTTTGACAATTTTAATAAATTTTATTTTATTTACCAGATTTCTAGCTGCAAGATCTTCTGACATTTCTTTGCCAGTTTTGAAACGATATTCTAAAAACAACCGCAGCATTAAGCGATCAAATTGTTCGTTTGTTTTCTTTTCTTCTCCCAATTTCTTTATTTCGATCCATCGGGCTCTTTTTTTTTTAACTATGACAACTGTTGATTAGTTATAACCCTATCCTCGTTACTATTTCCCGTTAAGATTTCTTTACTTCATGTAACGTCACAACTTTAATCTTTTTTGATGAGGGCAGTTTTTGATACAGGTCATAATTACAACTTTTATCCTGGCATTAGTTAAAGCTGAACTGAGAAATATTGTTAAAGTTTTCTTATGAGTAAAGAAAAACATTCGATGGAATAACGTTATCAAAAGAAATAGTAAATTTTTGTTGTATTAGTTCAACTCAAACTGTTTCTGAAATTTTTACAATAATAATGTTCATGTTGATTCACGAAAATTATTAGAATTGGTTTAATTGTTGTTACAAAAATTGTCTTTTTCTCATCTTATTCAGAATGATATATGTCCGTTTGTTATTTGAGACCACTGATATGATGAATCTTATTGTACAATACGGTAGTATTTCGCAATGTAGATCTATTCCTGCTGACAAGAGCGATGGATTTTGATGAATGATGTATCAAAAGAAAGGGAATTTCTTGGAGAAGTAACAAATCATAGTCATCCCCTACCCCTCTGAAATTTTAGGGAAAAAAATGCAATTATTTAAAAAAGAATAAATTTTTTGTTGATTGCACTCATGATTATTTTATTATTATTATTACTGTACAGGTTTCCAGTGTGTATTTAATCATTGGAATGCTTTATTATCGTATGTAAAAATGGACGTACAGTTGGGGGTTGGGGTGGATTTGTTTTTGAAGCCCGTAAAAAAAATAAAAAAATATTTTCCAGATTTTAAAAAATATATATATATCCTCGTCCAATTAAGAGGGAGGAAACATGTAGCTTTACTTTATATTTTTAATTTATTATTATTTTTTAAATAATCATTATTTAATTAATTAATTAAAAATAAGAGAGTGATCGCCCTCGGTAAGTTGTCCCTGGACTTCTCTTTAGGTACGGCACTTTAACTTATTATAAATATTTACAAATATATACATGAATTATAAGTTTGATATAATCTCTTAATGTGTATATATATTTATATGTATGATTGCGGTAGAACTCAAGAATTTTTGGATAAATATAGATGAAAAAAATCGGATATATCAATCATCAAACCTAGAAGACAATGTATTGCCTTTAAATACATATTGAAATGATATATGACAAAAGTACTTTATGTTGAGGAGAGGAGGGGGGTAGTGTAAGAAATCGTAGGAGGACAATTAGGTTGAGCGAAAGCCCTTTGTGAATTATTTATTGCCGTTAGGTGAACAAGGCCCCCCTCTTCTTTCTGGGCGGCTCATTACACGGCTTTATACGGATTTTATGCTAATGATATACCCCCCTCCTGCCCCCCCCACCTCTGCTACACCTCGCTCTGCAATTAAGGGTCACCGGGCAACTGTCTCAACACACGGCCCCCAAGCGGGGCAGGGGGCCTTTATTGTTCCATACCGAACGGCTTTTAGTAATTATAATTCGTTTTATATGTTATCTTAAATTTATAATAAGGTATTCAATAATTTATTTATTACAGACTATATTGATTATTTTAGTATTATCTGGAGAACAGTCGTTTTAGACTGTTTATTTCTATGCCCCGTAGGTAATGGAACATATCCATGATTTTTTTTTTTATATATAAATAATGTAACTAGGAAATAAATCTGATTACCTCAAAGTTATGGAAAATTGGCTTCCCGAACAATTTAAAAAATGTGACATATTGTCCTTTACCTCAGGGGTATAAATTTAGTAACTAAGAACACATTTTAATAGCTCAAAGTTATCGAAAATTGACTCTCCTTAACAAATACAACATTGGGCATTGTGTTCTGTATCTCCGGGGTACAAATTTATAATTTAAATCAATCATAGTTATTTACTGAAAGAAGTTAGTTGAATGTACTACTTATCACAGGTAATAAATAATCAGGAAGTAATCATTTTTGAAATTTTTTATTGTTGCAGACGTTTCAACCTAGACGTTTGTTCCCAAATGTTTTAAGCCCCAATAATGTTTGGGTTCAAACGTCGCCAACAATAGGAAAAAAATTCAAAAATGCTTCCTAATTATTTATCTCCTGTGATAATTATTTGTTAGTAATGAAAATCATCGGCAAAACTAACATATTATATATGTATCTGTTATTTTAAACGTTATATCTATTCTTCTCGATCTAATTTCTCATCTACTTTATCTATTTTTTTCATCATCTTATTCCATCCACATTGAAACTCTTAGAACTGCAGGATACTGTCTTCAGTCAAAATGTTTCGGTAGTGAACACGTTTATTCCAAATGTTCTCACTAACCCTTGCATTTGGGGAAGGTTTTAGACCTATTTTATTTTAAAACGTAATAATTTTTCCCGCCATATAATGTAGGTGGTTTCCTGAAGTACTGTAAAAATGTTATTAGTTTCGTATGGTTACTGGTTATCTTCATATCTCGAATCATGCACGTTTTTACGATGCAATGGCGATAGTAAAGTATAATGATTATGCCACTTGACCCGGCGGAATACCTTCCATGGTTTTGCAAGATCATTGGCCAGATGAGAACGAACCGTCGGATCGCTGTGTTAGCGCAAACAGCTGTAACGTTATTGAAGATTGATGGTGGCGTGGGAGGTGACAGTTTCCTCATTGGCCGATGGTGATTGCGCTCGGCTTATCCCATTGGCTAGTCCTATTGCTTATTGTCTTTTACGATTGGCTGTACTTTATGGCCGACACCTGCAGCGGTGGATCCTCTCCGATGGGTCTGATCTACGACCTGTCGTATAATCCCCCCATCGGATGGGGGGAGGGGAAGGGAGCAGGTTATTTCCATCCTTCGCTAACGGTATGTATCGCTGATGAAGCTGTGTCATAGGGAGGATCACTCTTTTCGATGATTAATGTATTTATTTTTTATCATATTATTATACCTGAGAAAATAATAAATGAGCTATGTTAAAACCATTGATTGAATATCTATGATCACAGGAAAATAAGTACTTAAATACTGGGGACATTTCATGAACTATATTACATGCAAAACTTTTGGATTTTAAAAAATGTATAGGTTGATATATGAATGATTTTAACATAATATCAAAATAAACTTAATTTTTAGATACAATTTTAAGCGAAAAAGTAGGAATAATAGTCGGAACAGGTTATTTTTTTTATTCCTAAAGAATAATTATTTTATTTTAGCTATTATTAAACCTTCTTAACCATTCCTTAGTAAGCATTAACTGGTTAGTATTTTCATTTACTTTAAATCATACTTAAATAAATACACGGAAACCTAAATAAACTAAATTCGGCTTGAACATAGGCCATTGTTTAAATTATTGAGATCAAAATTTCAGCTAGTTAAATTAAATACACCGTTAGTTAAATTAAATATATATATATATATATACATAGCGGTACTGGCACTGGTGGGGGGAGGGGGAGGGGCTTAGTCCACCAAGTGTGTCTATTGGTCCTTTTTGCCAATCCCAAAGATAATACTACCAGTTGTTGTCTATTGTACCTCTACTTTATCTCAAACCTTTTTGTTCTTCTTATGAAGTTCAAAAGGTTGGGCCATTTTATGTTGGTAGCTTTGCATATTTGGATTCTGTCTCCTCCCAGAATCTCTCTCTCTCAGAATAAAATTTATTTATTTATTCATTTATATCAAATATAGGCTGCAGTGGTTTAAAGGACCTATCGTTTGGTATAGTTACAAGGTACTTTGAATAAGATCCACTTTACGCATAAGGAGATTAATGGATATCTGTTCGGTGAATATGGTAGGATAGAATAATAGGAGTATGATAAATAATTGACCATAAACATACACAGACTAAATGAGTTTCAACTTTAAATTACAGTCAAATAAGGGATTAAATGATTCCGTTATGTTTACCAGGTTAATATATGACTCGCTTAATTGCACACTATGCTTTACCCCCAAGAAGTTACTAATTCCAGTTAATATTAAAGTATAGCTTAATATAAGGACTAAAAATAATATAACTTATTCAACAAATAACAGCAATTTTATTATTAAAAGGAATGACTTTTATTGTTAATTTAACTTTTAATTTTCTTTTTTTATTAATGTATATAATTTTAAATATATATGGCACATGAGCGTCCGTTATAGAGAGTTTTCCGAAAGAGCCCTGGGGTAGAGCTATAGATTATAGAAGAGAGAGAGAGAGGGCTGAGCTGAGGCCGCTCGGTTACCACTTAAAACGGAATTAATTAAAGCCTTTTCAAAGCCATGTCAATCTTTCGTTCCGTCGGCCGCTCTTGTTCGTGCTCTTTCTCTTTCTCTTTTTTCCCTCTTCCTTATCCCTTTTTTTTTCTCTCTTTTTAATTTATGCTCTCTTAAATTACTT